AATTGCATTTCTGATTGAAAAAAGCGAATAAATATGTTAAATTTCTCAAAGTACATTCAATATTTACTTGAATGGAAGTTTTAAAGTAGTAAACTGTTTGCTATGAACTCACTTGGATCTTTCGAAACAGTCGACAAAAGACCAACAATAGAATTGTTCAATTCTCATAAATAATCATAATTTTGCAGTCAATTTTATTTTTATTTAATTACAATATGTCGTTGTCAGTATTTGGGTGGAGCTTTTGTGTCTTTTCTATTTAATAAAATATATTCTGAAGAAATAACAGTGTATGAAATTCGCACTATAGCATATAATGACTGATTTGGTCGCAAACCAAACCAAATTTTATTAGTCAAAAATATAAACCATGTTCGCGTTATGATAAGACGGATGTGATTAAAAAAATAGTTTTTAAATTAGGGTGTAGTTTCTAAAGATTGATATTAACGGAGATTTTTATGTGATTAAAAACTAAGTGGTTACAGTTAGGTGTACAATTACATCGAAAGAAAAGTCAAAATTTCCTCAATCTACATGAGTTTGACCACAACTACAATATCGATCGAGTGCATTTGCTCTGTTTTACATCAGACCAGTGATTTGATCATTTATGCCCCGATGGAAATGCAGTAATATTCTAGGATCTAGAACGTGGGATAACTAGAAATTATGTCGATTTAAACTAATAAATATAGGTACTACCATTTATGTGAAAAATGTTTTGCTCAGTACTGAAGTATGTGGTCAGTGTTATGTGCTTTCCGAACCGTTTATTTCGAATATTTTTTTCGCCTGGAATAATATTTTTCATAAGTCATACAAAGAAATGGTGCCAGATTATACAAGTAAAAAGAATACATATAATGAGCGCACTTTTAATTAAATTATTAATACACTTTTGATAGAACATAAACATTTATTAGCTTTTTACTATTACAGCGTTACCTGACAATGAAAAGTTGATAATTCTTTACAAAAAACTCGAATAAAGTTTATACCCCAATTTGAGGTATTCTTGAAAAGGCTACTTTTTCCTTACTTTTAAGCATTCTTAAACAACAAAGACGTTTCCGTGTGTAACGCCCTTCTGGAGTGTAATAAATAAGAGACTTCATTTTAAGCACCTCAGTAAAGGATTTCCTTTGTGCTCTGGAGAATATTTTTCTCTATCCAATGTAATTTTCAGGGGAGGTATTGTGTTGGTTCAATAGATGTGGCAATATTTTGTCGATGTTACCTTTTATTTATCTCCAGAATATGAAAGTCGTGTTTTGTTTAATTAGTTATGCTATTAATATCCTTCTTCTCCTATTTTCTCTTAATTTTACTAATGTGAATTTAAAATTAAACAAATGTTTAGTGTGCGTGTACAGACGTTTGTTACATAAACGTTTGATTGTGACATCGAAGACCAAAAGAAAGCTTAATTACGAAATTAATATAGTTTCATTTAAAATACTGTTTTAAAAAATATGGTGAGAGCTAAACCACCATGTAACCAAGTTTTATATACTCAGGTACTCTACTCAATCTGCTTGAAATAAGCAGATTTCAGCAGCAAAATAAAGCAGAATCATTTAATGTTTATCGACCTCGCGAGATATATATTGGCTAAGAAATCTGAACACATTCTTTAGTGAACATACTAGATAAGTCTGTGTAAATTACTCATTTTTAACAAACTCAAAAAAAAAAAACAAAAGAGGCGGTTATCAATTCGACACGTATTTTTTGATGGTAGATCTTTGAAGTCGGTTCTTCTTTTAAGAATTTTATAAACCAGTAGCCAGCCTTCTGTAAATACCAACAAATCCACGCTCAGACTTTACATTGTACGTATCAAGTAAAATAATCCTAATATTAATACAAAACGAACACTTCCAAGTTCTTGTTAATGGAATGAAAAATTAAGTGATATAATGAACGAATCAGGGCACAATGCGCACGTAACATCGTTCTCAAGTAGTTACAGTTTGCTTCAATGAGAAAGTGAAGTAACTTTTATTTGAAGTCTGAACTAATAAATTCTCAAGCATCTGCTTTCCGCCTGAATATTACTTGAAAAGAAATCACGACAGCAACTGATAATGTCATGCTACAATGCGTCGGAATGCTTTCGAACTTATGTTTCAAAGTATTTTTGAATAGATCGCTATTTGCAACTCAGATGTCACTTTAAAAAGTATTATTAAAATAACATATATAGTACATATACATAAGGACATAATGTTAAATTATAATTACCTAAATCAGAAGTAATATAACTGGATCAAATTTCAACGTTTATGTTAAAAAGCTGTAATTGTGATTATATCGTTATTTAAAGGCGCACTCCATGAAAAGCGGTTAAAATGTAAATATAAAAATCTATAATATATACATAGCTACATTGCTGTTTATGTATATTTCTACTGTCTTTATAATAACTTAACTAATCAGTTATTCAACTATAAATAACTAAATCGGTCCATTGAGTTTCTTCTTCTTCTTCTGTGTTTATCTATTTATCACAGCGGGAAAAAAAACTTTACAGAGACGAATCTATTAGTTAAATTCGTTCTGTAATATCGACTTATATAACTGCTGTAAAACAATTACGGCTAACAATACGCCGTACTTAAAAAACTTTTATAATAGTACCTTGGTTTATGCAAGAGCAAAGTATTTGAATTCAGTGAAATTCCCCTGGTAATCTCTTTCAGACCGATAAACAACATCTTAATGACCCAATAAAATTAGCCTGACTGTTCGATGTCCCACGATATCTTAAGTCCAAGCAATAAATTCTAGATTAGGACGAATTCAATAAAACTATCTTGAAAACATTAATTCAGCTTTTACACGAAAATAAAATTTTACTGACGGTACCGCTGACCTTTTAAATCTCGGATTCATACAAAATATACTTAAGGGACACTAAAGGAAAAGAAAGTTTTCGAGTAGGTCTTATAATAAAGGATTCATTTTGTTAAGTAGATTGAAGGAACGTGCCCACTCAAGAGAATACGGTGTCATACATAATACAGAGCCTTATATTTGATTATTATTGAATCCTCAGTTAAAATGTCACAGGTAATGTATTATAATAGTTGTATAATATTGTGACGGTTTTATAGCACTTTTTGCACTTCCGTGTCCATTCAATCGTGGTATTTTCAAACTGATTTGTTCTAAAACCTTCTAGAAAAGAGCGTTTAATAAAAACCAGTAACCACTATCAAGGACTTAGCGTTGCAGGTGTTATGATGGCGGTCAGCACATTATTCTATATATGTGATGAAGTAATTCGCTGAAAACTTTTATAAACGCAATTTCATTTGATGTATATTGTTGTTTTACTTGATTGTTATTATTTATTCATTCAACAATTTATCAATTAATATTTACGAGATGGTTTCGTATGCGAATGTTATGTAAATATTTTTTGGAATTGTTTATTAATAATCGTAATTGGGTATTCTTTTGTCTCTTTCAAGTTGAGTAGAAAACAATGTGAGTGTGATCTTCTATATCTTTACACATATGTCACATGTGTTAGGGGCTAAAATATTTCTTTCTGTAAGGCAGTAAACGAACTGTGAAGTTTATTTGCTCATTCTCACGGCGCCTGATTCACAAATACATCGTTTGTCGTATGAACACAGCCTAAATCAAATATACCTTCGTAAGGAAATTTTATTAAGTACAAGGTACCAAGGTTGTAGCGTTTTACGTAATACCAGTACTGAAATGAAATTTATATTGTCCTAATTCCGCTCAGTCTACTTAAACAAGTTCAAAAAAATAATGTTTAGTGCATTTTTATCACTATGTTTTAAATTTCTATAACGATGTCGTATATGGCGTCATACTTTTTGTTCCCTCAATAGATTTTTTTGAACCAGTACGGCGGGAGGATCTCCTCACCTCATTTGTAATTTTAATTATTTTACTGTATAACTAATTAATTTATTAATAAAACAATTTTTCACCGGATTGAAGTTATGTATTTACAATTATTTTTCATAATTTTAAATTTAACCGACGTTTCGCGTGCTTTACAGCGCGCGTGGTCACGGTGACTGAAGTATCCACATTACGAAATAAATAAATAAATTATCTTAAACATTTAAGCAACAATAGCTATAAAGCAAATTTCCTCTCATAGAATGCCTAATCTAGATTCTATCTTAACTCAAAATACCGTTTCAACCCGCAATACAATATAGAGAATGCTCCGCTTTATTTCGCGCCCTACTCTTTGTCATCTTCCACCTAAACCGTGTTCAGCTATTTCGTTCTATGTGTATTCGGTCCGTTTGAAATAATGCCAGTATTTTGCTCACGTAATTCTAATACTAAAATATCTGTCCATTCTGGTGATTTCAAGTGTGAAGATTTACAAAGAATTGCGGACTTAAATCGTAATAGGAGTTTAACGGCATTTCATTTTTATAGACTCACTTGCTGTTGCCCGCTATTTTATCCGCATTAGTTTAAGATACGTGCAAATTCGGCTTTTTTTGTTTCGGAGTCATTTTTAAACTTTATTCGAAGATATTTATTGAAATCATATGATTTCAGGAGTACTTTTAATAAATAATATACTTGCTATAAATTGGATAATAGGATTGACATCATGTTTATAAAAATAACGAATTATTTTAAACTAAAACTATGTCTGATGAGGCAAACATTGTTTTGTCTTATAAAGACAAAGTACGAATATCGCTACTAAAATGAGGTTCCGTAAAATTAGGGTGAAATTTAAGGTGGGTTTTTGTTGCCAAATCGTTAAAAAAAAACAGATTTTTTTATATATCGATTGATTACCAACGGAAGAGAAGAACTGGCAACAAATTCTCCGCCACTCTTTTTAATCGCCAAGTTTTTGTTTTACACAATGTTTGTAAAGAGCTGCAACCATTACACCATCTTCCACGTGACATATTAAGTAATAACTAGTTAAGTGGGGCGTGAGGAACAAACTTAGCTTTGCGCCTCACAAAACCAATGCGATGGTGGTGACACGCAAACGTAAATATGACAATCCCCGCCTCACGATGAATAAAGAGCCAATAATATTTACCAACAAAATAAGGATCCTGGGCGTAGAAATAGACGCTGCGTTAACTTTTAAGGGCCACATTGACAACTTGTACAGTAAGACTATATCAATATATAGACAAGTTTCGAAAGTAGCAAAGATAGGATGGGGCACAGCCGGACGTCACTGCAACCCATACACTGCAGTGATCGAGCCAAGTCCTGTACGCCGCGGCTGTGTGGGCACAAGCAGAGAAAAAGTTTTATTAAAAAGAAATTAGATCGCATGACATGGGGCTTCGCACAAAAAATTGCAAAAACATACAAAACGACAGCACCAGCCAGCGGCCTTGCTTGCAGGGATACTTCCCCTGGACCTTCGCGTTAAGGAGGCCGCGGCCGCAACCTGGCGCGGAAGGGGTGTCACCGCACGTAACATATGACAACACAAAGGACGCGACTGCCATACACTGACCTCCCACACCCCGCCAAAAGACTTAAAATAACTACAAAAAACGGACGACCCGTCAGAAACGAAACGTTACTATGACAAAATATTTACAGACGGGAGCAAAACGTCCGCGGGAGTGGGAGCGGCAGGACTGAGTGGCAGACGGAACCGCCGACCGAGATAAAAATAAAAAGGGAGGCTGGCTCCCTACTGTACAGTGCACCAGGCGGAGCTAGCCGCACTGAGGGACGCAGGACATATCTGACCAAGGGAAGGCGGAATGCGGCTGAGCCAGCGACTCGCCTTCACTGGAGCCACGCGGGTGGACGCCTCTCGATCCCCAAGTTGCCGAGATTCGCCAGAACCTGGAAGAGTGCCATGAAAATGGCATTAAAATTGAACTCTTTTGGGTGAAGGCGCACGTGGCACTACGGGAAACGAGGGGCGACGCTCTCGCGGGGGAGGCGGTTGGGGAAACGGGGTCGCGAATAGGGACGATGCGATCCGCTTTCCTATTGCGACGACTGTCAAGACTCAAGACTTTAGACACCTGGAACGAGCGCTATGTGGGGGGCGAAACAGCCCAGTCACAAAAATGTTTTTAAAGAGCAAATGCGACAACAAACAAATCAAGACAAGGCGTTGCACCTCACATGGCGCAGATCCTGACTGGCCACGGTGCTTTTGGACACTATTTACACAGACTCAAACTGAAGACAAGCCCCGCGTGTGACTGTGACGACAGAACCGACCAAACGGTGGTTCATTTACTTGTCGACTGTGCGAATTTTGGAAGGGCCAGGTGCGATCTGGAACCGAGACTGGCATGAGGGTATCCCGGGATGGGCATCCGACCTGTTACTTGAGCACAGATCGCAGCTGGAAAAATCTGCGACAAGATGTCAGATATGCACTCACAAAAATAGCACGGGGAACGCGGGGTCGCCGGGCAGCGGGCCCCGACTCACCTATAAATATTATGACGATATTTTCGGAGTAGTTGTCGCCCGGGCCCGGCGGGGACGCCAACCCTAAGAAAGGGGAGATCTGACACTCCCCTGCTGCTTGGCCACTCGGTCACAAATCTGCCTGATTGCGTGGCTGATAGGCTAGGATGTAGGGGTCCCTGTATAAAAAAAACTAGTCAACTAGTTAATTTATAATAATAAATTAATTAAAAACAAAGATTTGTTCTCTATCAGCAGGAGGCATGGTGTAATAGGAGCACGCACTTACATTCTCGTGGGAGCAACACGCAAACACATAGTCGAAATAACTAATATCACCGCATACACGAATTCAAGTACGACCAGACACCACAAGTAGCATCCGTTCACGAGTATGACGCATGGCCTGCCATGGGCTCCTCGCCATATTTTAGGGAGAGAGATAACCCGACGCATGGACGCCGCCACAAGGAATGCCATTTAAGTGAGCATGACGATCCTTAGCAAGTGGATATCCGCGGTCTCCGCCTACATAGATAAATAAAGAAGAATAATTAACACTTACAATTAATAAGGTCCAAATTTAGATTTTATTAAACCACTCTCAACACTAAAGTCGGTTTATCAGAAAAAATATATTTAAATATATCTCTCGAATTGGCCTCTTAATCGGTAGGGGGTTGACATCACGATTATTACAAAGCCAATTAAAACGAAACATTAGACCAAATAAACACATTAAACTTAATAGTTTAAATGTAATTACACTGAGCTTATCCCATAAAGAATATGTTGAAATTTATCACGGTCTTATCCTGACAAGTCGCAAATTAGAACGGATTACGCGATTCAGGGGGTGTTAAACAGAATGTACTCGTAATTAAGTGTTATAACTTTGAATTACATTGTATTTGCTGAGGACCAGCGGTTATGGTGTTAATTTGAGATTAAGCTGGGCTAAGCTGGATCATACCATCCTTTTTAAACAAACAATAATATTGAGATCAGGGCGGGCAGGAATTTAAAACGAATATTTTTTGTTTTATGATTTGATATTATTTACATAAATCGATATTAGTAAATTATGTTTTAATCTGTTAAAGATGTATTTTTAATAATGCTTTGTTAACAAAGCGGTGCAATCTTTATTTTATATGGTAAATAGTTTCCCGTAAAATTTGGGTTGTGTATGAAAAGTTCGATTTGTTAATGTAGAATTATCATTATTAGTATAAAAATCATACAATATATACGAAATATATTATACTGAAATTCGTCCACGGTCCCCTTTACATATATATACATTTTCTTTTGCAAACTGTGGAAATGACTCTCGAGGAAGCTCTTTCCTGACAGATACGACGTCCAAATGTTTAAATGAAATCATACTCCTCCCTCAAAGACCGGCTACGCACCCATAAACTGTGTCCATGAGCTGCGATGACTGCCCATTATGGGCGTCCCGTAGGTTCGTGTATGTACTTCAAACATGTTAATAATAATACTTTATTTACATCACAATGACATATAGAAAAAAAAAGAAAAATAAAACAAAGGATGTTATTAAAACTTATTTGCCAATTTTTTCTTTATGAAAATGATGTCAGTATATATTTTTTTGAGAATTTTTACCGACCGCAAAAATAAGGTTAACAGTTTGATATTATTGGATTTGACAATATTTCTGTATGATCTTTTTAGGTTTCTAAGGACGTATGCTAAACATCTAAGTGTATACACAAATTCCTTCGAAACTGGAAATCACCCTTTTTACTCAGATTTTTAAATATATATTAGATATTTATTTAAAATATACTTACGTTAATAGTGTTGACTTAAGGTCGTTGATTATGTGATTTAAGGTGGACGGCTTTTTTCCCCTACCCTATATTAATTGCAAAAAACAAATACATTGCAGCACCGGTGTTGGAGAGCAAAGCCTCATGTCGCACGCTTAAGCAGTCGAAAACAGCTCTGTAACACTTATGGTTTTAATTACAACAACTTTTCTGAACACGTCTAGATCCATTTCAAGTATCAAAATAAACTCAAATAATGAAATCCCGGGAGATGTCGGTTCTTTTTAGCGATTCGCTCGATGCGCCACGGTATTAGCATATTAATGAACAAACGTGCCTCATGGGCTACGAACTAACATCCTTAATTACTTTTGTACTAGCTCTTCCACAACGTTTTTCATTTGAACGGCCTTTGAATAAGATTTAAAATGTATATTTCTATTAAAACTTGTACAGAAAAAGAGCTTAGGACTTTTTTAAATGGGAAGAGAAAATGTTTATTTCGGTGTAACAAAGCACTTCAAGCTATAAATTCGTTTAATAAAGACATTTTTTTTAAAATTCAATTTAAACTAAACTTAATTTATATAAACCGATTTTTTAAAATTAATATTATTTTTAAATAATTCTAAAATTAATTACTAAATTCCATTCCAATTTACACTATGGTATCATTTTATAAAACAGCCAGCAATATATTAGTCCTTACATATGAAATTGGCGTATTTCGTACTGGCCACTTTAATCACGATGTTCTCCACTTTGGTAAGGAATTCCAAATTCATATTTGTACAGCTATTTACTCATGTATTTGTGCTTCGATGACCGTCATTCATTTGTTTTTTTCTTCTGTTTTTTCTGTTTGCGTCACTCATTTTACAAAATGGAAAACTTAAAGTATCGCATTATTTACGAGTACGAATTTCGCCGTGGCACTAGTGCTGCGGAAACGACTCGAAGGGTGAATGATGTGTATGGCGGTCATGTTGCAAAAGAAAACACAGTTCGTTTTTGGTTCCAACGTTTTCGTTCTGGAAATTTCGACCTGCAGAACAAGCCCCGTGGACGGCCTGATACCCAAGTTAATAATGAAGTATTGAAGGCTATTGTGGAAGCGGATCCATCGCAAACCACGTCCGAGTTAGCTGCAGGCTGCGGTGTTAGTGGTAAAACTGTTTTAATTCACTTGAAGCAAATTGGGAAGATTAAAAAGCTTGAAAAATGGGTACCTCACGAATTGACTGAAGCAAACCGGCAAACGCGCGTCGACTGCTGCGTTACATTACTGAACCGGCACAATAATGAAGGTATTTTAAACCGAATCATTACCTGTGATGAAAAATGGATTCTTTACGATAATCGAAAGCGCTCAGCGCAATCGTTGGATCCTGGCCAGCCAGCCAAATCCTGCCCCAAGCGAAAATTAACCCCAAAAAAGTTACTTGTAAGCGTTTGGTGGACTAGTGCCGGTATTGTTCATTGCAGTTTTCTCAAATCTGGCCCGACTATTACGGCTGATGTCTATTGTCAGCAATTGCAAACCATGATGGAAAAGCTAGCGGCTAAACAACCTAGGCTGGTCAATCGCTCCACGCCACTGCTACTTCACGACAACGCTAGACCACACACTGCACAACAGACGGCTACCAAATTAGAAGAGCTTCAATTGGAATGTCTAAGACATCCTCCGTACTCCCCGGACCTTGCTCCAACAGATTACCATTTTTTCGAAATTTGAACAACTTCTTGCAAGGGAAAAAATTTAACTCTGATGGGGTAGTCCAAATCGCCTTCACAGATTTTATTGATTCCCGTCCGACTGTTTTTTTTAGTAAAGGGATCAATGAACTACCTACGAGATGGCCAAAGTGCATAGAAAACAATGGTTCATACTTTGATTAATTAAATATATTATATTTAAAAATATTCGACTTTTTGTTCCTCCCATACAAAACGCCAATTTCATATGTAAGGACCTAATATTTTTTACAGAACAGAAGGCAATTGGGAAGTAGGCTCATCTGATGTTAAGTGGTACCGCCACCCATGGACACTCGTGGACTCAGAGGGCTCGCGAGTAGGTT